ACATACAGATAGCCTGCAGGTGATCTTTAGTCAGAGCCATGTCCTCTGGTCTTCTTTCTTTTAATTTGTCATCTGCACATATGTTGCTTGTTGTCCAGCCGACGTGGTTTAGTTCTGCAGAGAATTTCTGGTCGAGGATGTTCTTCATTTTATCACTGCAGCCATCGTACATGTCGTCAACGGATTCTTCAACCATGCCCAACTGGATGGTACTGCAAGTCATCTAAAAACACAACAAAATGAAAGGTGCTCCATTAGACCATCAAATAAGTACAACATGGAGAATTTTCTGTGTCAATTTATAATTGTAATTTTAATGTTGAATGTAAGAGAGGACTGAGACCAGAAGTTTTGGGAAAAAATAATGACTAGAGAAACTGTTTTGTCTCTAAATATTGTTGGGCGATGAATAAATTTGCACAAATTTGCTGAAAACACTGAAACTGAGCTGAACATTAGTGAAAGTATATTTAAAAAAAGCTAAACAAAAAAATTATAAAATGATAATAGTAAACCAAAGGTAGGAAAATGCTAGCTAAAAATTAGAAACTAAAAATAGCAAAAGGCAATCAAAAAGTAGAAAATGGCTAGTTAAATGTAGCAACAAACTAGCTAACGGCTGAAGTAGCAAAAGGGTAGCTAAAACTGGCAAGCTAGCTGATAAAAGTAGCAAAACAATCACTAGGAGCTAAATGCTGTTGTGAGCCACGTCACAACACGAAATAATTTTCTAGTTTCACATTTAATTTGTATAAAAAGGCCTCAAAGTTTTCTGATTGTGGCCATTTTGGGGATTTGTAACACAAGCTGTTGTTAATATCATGTAGTATTGATCCTTAGCTGGTGACATTTTGAGACTATCACATGAGAAACTTACCGGCAGGAGGTCTAAAGTCAGCATCCAGCACAGGTGGAAACAGAGCGGAGTGAAGATCAGCATCTCTGTCACTGTTAGAATCAAAGTTTTAATGAAATCAAATAGAAAAACAAAAAGAGGAGATGAAATTTAAAATAATTTCTATCTTTGCAAGAGAGTGAAGTCAGTGAGAGTGCACAGAATCTGACCTGACCTCTCTGGTCTCAGCTCACCTTATATGCAGTGCAGGTGGCGTTTCTCATCAAGATCCAGGTCAGCTGGTCCAGAAACGGTTTCTGTCTGCAAGAGATAATTCCAAAAGTTGTTCTTTGGTTCAGAGCTATAAAGTAATAAACGAGTACAAAGACGAACATGTAAAACTGTGCGCTTGTGTTATCAATTAATGCACTCACATTTGGCCATTTGAATAACCAAAGTGCGTTGTACTCCAGCAGTTTACAACAAACTCTATAACGGCTGTTCGAGATGATTTTGCTGATTGGTTGAAGTTATGGTCATCAGAGACTAGTGTAACTGTTCTGTTGTAGATCTGCTGCTGTGTTTGACCAGAAGACAAAGTTCAACATGTATGGTAAAATCATCGACAGAATCTTGTGTCGCAGTTCAGTTCAGTTTTTTGTAAAGCACCAAGTCGCAACAGAAGTCATGTCAGGACACTGCAAAGAAACATTCATGTACATAAAAAGTACATTAATAACATTATTTATCTGAGGAGCAGAATGCTTTGAGTTTAACCTCATCACAGACTCATCTTGAGCAAGCATGAAGGCGACAGTGGAAAGGAAAAACTCCCTCATGAGGAAGAAACCTTTATCAGAACCAGACTCAGGACAAGTGGTCATCTGCTTCAACTAGCTTTGTTTGAGAGGAACAGGAAGGAGAAATAGATACACAATGGCAGGTCAGAATCATGTTAAGATAGAAATAGTATCAAATGAAAATTATTCATTTGTAACAACTCATTTTAAGAAATGAGGTCATTTGTCCTCCAGTAGTCTAAGCCTATAGCAGCATAACAAGTCAACCCTAACTATAAGATTTATCAACGAGTAATGTCTTAGTCTTAAAACTGGACAATGTGTCGGCCTCATGGACTGAAACTGGAAGTTGGTTCCACAAGAAAGGAGCCTGATAATTGAAACATATTCCTCCCATGCTGCTTTTGGAAACTCTAGGAAGCGCATGTAAGCCTGCAGTCTGAGAGCGAAGTGCTCTGTTAGGAAAATATGGAACAAGATCTCTAATATAAGATGGAGCTAGGTTGTTGAGGGCTTTGTCGGTTAGAAGTAAGTTTGAATTAAATTCTGGACTTGACAGGGAGCCAGTGGAGAGAAGCTAAAACTGGAGAGATATGATCTCTCCCACTAACTCCAGTTAAGACTCTGGCAGCAGCATTTTGGATTAACTGAAGACTTTGTAAAGAAGTATTTGGACACCCAGATAATAAACCATTGCAATAATCCAGTCTAGACATGACAAATGCATGAACCAGTTTCTGTATCATTTTTAGATAAGTTGTTTCTAATTTTAGAGATATTACGCAGGTGGAAGAAGGTGGTTGTAGTAAAGTTTTTAATGTGGGGGATAATAGACATGTCCTGATCAAAATAACACCAAGATTTTTAACAAGTAGAACTGGAGGCCAGCGCTCCAGATTGGGCCAAGATTCAGCAGACACCTCACATTTCACTCAGTACTTAGGTACAGAGAGAAGTTCATGATCAGTGACCGTAAAGAGCTCCTGTGGCTGGAAAAGAAGCTCAAAGCTCTATGATTGTAGAGCTGACAGCTGGTACGAGTGTCTGCTGATCTGTTGATGCATCGCTCCAACGTTCTTCACTCTGGTTTTGTACATTTCATTTCTCCAGGACATTTGAATTTTGTTAAATGTAGGCCCAATAGCATGGTCCTCTCCAGGAGATGAGATTGTCTTCTAGAAGCCAGCTCACCTGTTCAGTCTCTGTTAGCTGTTTGTGCTGATTACAGATTAGAAATATGTAAACATAAACAACTCTGAGATCATTTTATTGTCAGCAGTGTTGTATAAAGTACCTCAAAGTTATACTTCAGTGAAAGTACAAGTATATTACCATAAAATTACTTTGGTAAAAGTTAAAGTCGCCTTTAAAATTATTACTTAAGTAAAAGTCTTAAAATATCGGACATTTAATGTACTTAAGTATCAAAAGTAAATTTCTCTTCTAAAATGTACTTAAAGTAAGAGTATTAAGTAAAAGTAAATGGTTAGAATTTCCAAAACAACATTTATTGGGTGTAATATCCAGTGACAAAAACCTGGAAAGCTTGAACTGAACAGTGAAAGATTGTTCTTTAAAAAGTCTGATTCTAATGAAGTATATTCTTTCAACCTTTATTAACGTTTATTATCAAAGCTGTTAGAAAGCCCACATTGTTGTGTAGTTGGCTTGTTTACTGAGCTAGGTTCTGTTTGGTTATGGCTCGTTTCTTTCTGACTAATTAATAATATAGGATATATTATAGTAGAATATAATAGCATAGGAACTAATAGTTCCTATGCTCTTGAAGCGGTTCATGTCCTGGAGAAGACCAAACTTCTCCTTTTTTAGCAGCTACCATCATTTTCACATCTACCAGGAACGTGTCTCCACTGTGAGTCAACAAAGCTCTATTGTAACAATTGATCTCTGTGTATGCATCTAGCTTGTTCACAGTGGGAGCTTCAGTTTTCACACAAGCAGTGGGGGAGAGGCTGGTACTGGGAGAACAAACTGGCATTGTCCAATCAGATTTCTTCAAATTTTAAAATGTAGTAACTAGTAACTAAGATGGTTAAGGGAAATGTATTGGAAGTAAAAGTACACATTGTATTGAGGACATGTACTGAAGTAAAAGTCGCTAGAAATGTAAATCACGAAGTAAAAACATGTCAAAATTCTACTTATGAGCAGTAACGACGTATTTCTACTTTGTTACATTACAACACTGTTAGTACCACTAATTTATCAAATGTATGAAGTTGTACTTTTGAGTATAACGTTTAACTTAGATCACAACTTGCCTTAGCACTATATATACCATTAAACTATGAAGACAAAGGGAATTTTCAGCTAACACATCCTCTCATTCATTAATATTAACCAACGTTATTAGGCTAAATAAATTTCACTGTGAAAAACTACCAATACAGATTTGTTAAAAAAAATGAAAAAAGGGGCTACAAGAGAACCTTGGAGATCCTTAGTGCCACTCAGAATTATTAAACAAATATTAAACCTAGTAAGGAAACTGAAAGTTATCTATTTTAAGAAACAGATCCTGTCTAACTCTGAATGCTAGGAAACACCTTGTAACTGTGACTTTCCTTCCCTCCACTGACTGTGGTGACATCATTTACGTGAACCCTCCTACAAGAACCCTGCAGATGTTGGATGCTGTCTATGGTGCGCTAAGATTCATAACTGGTTGTGATTATCGTACCCATCGCTGCACCCTGTATTCACTGGTTAACTGGGCATCATTAACTTCATGTACTTTCCCACTGGTACATTTTCATCTTTAAATCACTTCTTGGTGTGTTGCCTTCATACATCTCCTCCTACATGTCTCTGCGTGAGTGCAGCTACAGCGTGCGCTCTCAGGACATTATTACCTGCAGTTCCCTCAGTGAGGACTGAACTAGTTAAAAGGGCCTTCTCCTACTCCGCTCCTGTTTCCTGGAATATCTTATAAAAAGATGTGAAGCCCTCGACCTTGACCTCTGTAAGTGGCTTCAAACATCTGCTAAGTTCCTGGCAAGGACCAATGCAGACATGTTCCCATTTTTAGTTTTCTACATTCGCCTTATAATCTAGCTGTTTTTTTTTGGCTACTTTTTCTTTTAATTACTATTTTTTTCACTTGTTTAAAACACTATATTAAATTTGTACACATTCTTTATGATTGTCTATTGTTGTCATAACTCTTTGTTAAAAAAAATCAGGTGTCTCTTGTAAATGAGTCCCCGAGGCTCAGTGGGATTAACCTGTATAAATAAAAGTTGAATGAATGAATATTAATCTAATCATTTTCTTTATAGAAAATGTTAGACAAGTACAATGAGACGGTTTTCAGAAGGAAGTCTTTATTCGCTCTACCTGATCATTTTATTTTAACTTCAGAACAGAAACGTTGCACTTTATTTATCCATCCAAACAAAGACGCAGTCTTTAAGTTTGTGTCTCTGACAATAGGATCAGCTTCATAACAAGCTGGTACTTAAGAGTCCTTTCTGTGAGAAGCCTGAGCGCTCCTCGGTATTCATACTGTCACACGTCCTCAGCACTGCTCGGCTCCTGTAGTGGCTCCACACCGTTGTAGTGCTCACCGAGACCATAGGCATGACGCATGTATCTGAAAACAAACAAAAACTATATACTTATTTAAGAGATGGGAGAAAGTTTGAAATTGTGACTGCCAAGATGGCGTAAGATGGAACCATGTGTCTGCATGCACCTGTTTTACAAGCTGCGTTTTAACCTTGATGTGTTCAGTTTTTTACATTCTCAATGGTCTCATGTGACTCTAGTTTATAGATGGACTGTCAGTCGTGCAGTTGATAAAAAACTTTTGATATGCTCTAAAGAATTCTCCCTCGAAGTGACTTCATTTACATAACATTATTTTACATAATGTTTAAGCACGTGTGGTCAAAACCTGCTTTAAACGTCTTCACTTTAGTCCATGCAGCTCAGCCACAATGCCAAGTAAGTTATCTTACACAAGAGTGATGGTTTCACCGTCATATTCTTCCCCAATCTTTAAGGTCGGGGAGTCGGCCTGGATCACTTCTACTGGTAAATGTAGAATGTGGGTCAAAGCTCGAAGCTGTGGGAAAGAAACACAAAAAATACACCAGAATAATTAAGTAGAGTAGAATGAAAAACAACAGAAAGAGTAAATGTTTCAAATATATATTAAAGCCACTCACTTCCAGCTGCCCGCCCCAAGCTGCTGTGTGCTCCACATCACTGCAGTATTTCTCAAACTCATCTAGAAGATGATCATCGGCTTAGCTGTCGTTGCAGTTACATTTGCACTTCGAACAGTTTTAGATAAACAAAGTTAGTATTACCTGTAGTGAACAGGTCACCAGTGTTGGGGTTGGTAAGAAAAGGCAGGAAGTCATCAGGATTGTTTCTCATGTGCTCAGCGGTACGGGACCGGAGTTCCTTCACACTCATTGACAACCCAGGCTAAAATAAAACAAAACACTTGCGCTCATCACATCTGTGATTAGTGCTTCATGCTACGACAGTACCATGGTCAAATGTGGACCTTTGATCGCTGTGCCAGCTGGTCTTCGACGGCTCGGTACATGCAGTGGCCGTCAGAAGAAATCTCCTTGATCTGAAGCTGTTGCTGGGCGAGTTTCTGAGCCAGCTTTAAACCCTCCTGGTGCCTCACGCCCTGCAGGTTTTGGACCTCCGCCTCTGCAATCCTGCTCTCCCTTTCCTTCTCCTGTGTGGCCTTCTTGTCCTGGAGAGCATCATTTAAATAAAATGGATTTTATCACTATAAACGACAGCTAAAGAAATTTGAGTAACCATCACATCTCCATCTATTGTCAGACATATTAATAATTAAATGCTGAGATCTCTTGCTGCACATTGTTGTTAAAGCACAGTTGGTGAAAACAAGCTGCACTTTAAGCCGTTTCTCACCCTTCGCTTCTGTGCTTTAGTTACTCGTGGCTGTTTGACCTCTTCTTCTCCGCCTTCCACTTTCAGGGTCTCCAAACCATTCAACACTTCCTCCACCTTACAAGAATGAATAAATGTAGCCTCGGTTATGCTGCACAAGTTGCTGTTTGGATGAGAATACATGAAGTCCAAGCATGACGACTTAAATACTTGCATTTAAGACTGTAAATGGATTGTGTCAAAACGGAACAAATTAAACTTTTCAGATCAACAGCTTACTTTCTGTGTGGCAATACTTCCTGAAGATGCGAAGATAAACTTCCTCTTATAGCAAGTTCATCACATAGGTTTCAAAACTGTACAGGTTTGTTCACGGAGTCTATTTTTATAGATATGAAAGCCAAAATTATCAATTATAGACAACTTTTCATAAATTCTCTAGTAAATGGTGAAAACGCTGCAGTGTCAGGGTAAAGCATTTTTCTAAACAAATATTGTAGAGCTACATTTGACATGTTTATTTGAACAAAACTCAGTACTTTCGTGCCAGTTGTAGATATGAGCTGCCTGATTTCCTCCTCGTGTCTCTCACTGAGGTCAGCTTCTAGCTTTGCGATCTCGTCTGATAGCTGCTTCCTTCTCTTCTTGTCGTTTTTGGGGACTACGCTTTTCATACTCTGGATTTTAGCTGAAAATTAAGCACAGAAATAACAATAAATAATTGAAAGTTGTGTTTTGGTTTTAACAAAAACATTAACCAAAACAATAAATGGCTATGAAGAAGAAAGTTGCAGATGTCACTAATAATAGCTGTTTATAACACAAAACAGGCACAAAAAAAATCTAAATGTCATGGGCTCAATAGAACAGGGTCTTGCTTTTGTTTAACTTCTTTCTGTAGAAACTATCTTCTTCTTTCAGCTGCTCCTTTCCTCAGGGGTCGCCACAGCGAACTAACTCGGACAAAGACTTGGCGATTGTTTTTACACCGGGCGTCCTTCACAACCACAGACCACCGAGCTACCACAGCCCTCTGTGTGGAGCAGAGAGCTGCCATCTAGGGCTCCCCGGTGAGCAGATGGTGGGGGTTAAGGGCCTTGCTCAAGGGCTCAGGGTGGGGCAAAAAGAGGGTGGAGGCAGATGTGAGTGATCCACCTATCCCACTTACATTTTGATGTTGTCGGACCGGCGACCTTCCCATCACAGGCTCACTTCTCTAGCCTCTGTGCCACCACCCCCGCCCCTTTCTGTAAAAACTACATATTATTTTATTATCGATTTAAAGTCTTAGTTCCCATTTGGTATCAATTTACTAAATTTCTTAACAGTTTGTTTATTTTATAGATCTGTACATGCATTTGGCATTTAGATGCAAACAATTATTTCTCTGCAAACATTTTGCATATCTGTTTACTTTTCTTGTTAGAAATGTTTATCTATGTGGTCATTTTGCTGTGCTGAATGTTTTTGTGGATCATATATATATATCTTAAACACATTTAAAATCCTTAATAATTAACCAAAAACGTAAACAATAATTTAAAAAAATACAAAATAAAAGCTCAACACCAGGGACACTGCTGCTTTGGATCCTTGGTCGGTTTAATCCCTTAAAAATTTTAAAAAAATCTGTTAATTTTAATAATAAATAAAGGATTTAACATTTGAAACTATGGTGTAAGTGATGACATTGTATAAAATACGTTTATATTTTTAACCACAAATGATCTGTGTCTGTCCTCTTTGATTTGAGAGAATTTTACTCATCAGCTATAGTTTATTTTAAACGAATAAATAGGAAACAAACTGCATAAGCCAGAAGCTATGTTTATGTAAATGAAAGCAGGTGAATGTGCTAACCCTGCAGGTCCTTTTTCTCTCTGCGGTGCTTCTTGGTCAGTAGCTCCTCCGGTGTCTCCTCCTCCATGTTTGTAGTTCGCGCTGTTCAATTTTTAGACTGCATGAATAAAACTACACGTGTTGAGGAGTCACCCTTGTAAAATGTGGCACAATAGTGCCAAAAGAAAAACGGTGTTGAGTCCACACAATAAATACGAACGTGGTTTCCTGGCCTCCCGGAAGAAAAAAAATGACGAAAACCTCTTCCTCGCGTGGCTAAAAGCGGAAAGTGGAGCAACATCTCCACCTGGTGGATAATTTGTGTACTACAGCGCCATAAATCCAATGCAGCTTAAAAAAACACATGCTGTCACTTTTATTTTAAAGAAGTGTTTAGTTTTCCGTTTTACCATAATTCTTTAAATGTTATTTTCTAACCTCTAGAAGTTAATTACAAAAATGCCAAGTAAATTGTTTTTAGTATTCTAAACAAATGTAAAAATTAAAACTTCTGTTGAACATAACATTTCCTTTTTTTGGACAAGACAAAATCCAGCATCAAACATAACCCCCTTATAAAAAAGCATTTAAAAAGGGGGGTTCTTCCCAGTGGGACATGCCCAGAAAACCTCCAAAGGCAGGCATCCTATCAGATTTCTGAACCACCTCAAATGACTCCTTTTGATGCAAAAGAGCAGCAGCTCTACTCTGAGCTCCCAGATGACAGAGCTCCTCACCTTGAGCACCCTACATAGAAAGTTCATTTCAGCCACATGTATTCTGGATCTCATCCTTTAGGTCATAATCAAAACCGCATTGACGAGGGATGGAACATAGACAGATAATTGAAAGTGTTTCCTTTCAACTCTACTCTTTCTTCACCACGACCGACCAAAGCAACACCCTCATTACTGAGAATGAGGACCCAATCTATCCATCTCCTGCTCCATCCCACCATCACTACTGAACAAGATGCCCAGATACTTGAACTCCTCCAGCGAGGAAAATACTCGATCCCTCTGACCCGGAGGGGGCATTCCATAACAGTCCTTATTTTGATCATATTAGTCAATATGGAGTCAGATTTACTTTCAATATTCTATTTTGATTTGAAGTTCTCTGGGTTTTCTGAAGGTTTTTTCAAAACTGTTTTTAAACTAATTTTGTGTTCTGTTTTCAATCTTAACTACACCCATAGGATTTAATCTGTTTTAGTTTGATAAGCCAATTGACATTGCCAATCACTAAATTTAAAAGGACATAACTCAAGGGATGAACCAATAGGCAAATAAATAAAAATGTAAATGTGTGTATTTTTTTATTAGTCCCTCCTCTAACATTTGTCCCCATTTATTTAGTTCAAAAAGTTCAAAGTTTGATATGTAAAAAGTAATTTTCCAGCAACGTAACTGTGAAAGAACTATTTGTTGAACTATTTGGTGTCCCCATTGAGTTTGTTGATTCCTATAAATATTTGGGTATCTTGGTCGACTCACATCTCTCTTTTAAGCTCCATGTGGAAAACTTGGTAAAGAAACTGAAAGTTAAACTGGGTTTCTTTTTCAGAACAGATCCTGTCTAACCCTGAATGCTAGAAAACGCCTTCTATCTGTGACTTTCATTCCCTCAATTGATTACGGTGACATTATTTTCATGAACGCTCCTACAAGCACTCTGCAGATGTTGGATGCTGTCTATCATGGTGCACTAAGATTCATAACTGGCTGTGATTATCGTACCCACCACTGCACCCTGTATTCACTGGACATCATTAACTTCACACAGACTCTCTCACTGGTATATTTTCATCTTTAAATCACTTCTTGGTCTGCTGCCTTCATACATCTCCTCCTACATGTCTCTGTGTGAGTGCAGCTACAGCGTGCACTCTCAGGACATTATTACCTGCAGTGTTCCCTCAGTGAGGACTGAACTAGGCAAAAGGGCCTTCTCCTACTCCGCTCCTGTTTCCTGGAATATCTTACAAAAAGATTTGAAGCTCTCGACCTTGACCTCTCTAAGTGGCTTTAAGAATCTGTTGGACTCCTGGCAGGGACCAATGCAGACATGTTCCTGTTTTTAGTTTTCTACATTTGCCTTAGAATCTAGCTGTTTTTTGTTACCTTTTCCTTTTAGCCATCCTATTTGTAAAAAAAAAAAAAAACCTGCAGTATGACTTTTTATAACTGTTTATTGTTGTTGCTGTTGTCCATTGTTGTCATCTTTCTTTGTTGAAATCAGGTCTCTCTTGTAAATGAGTCCTCGAGGCTCAATGGGATTTACCTGTCTAAATAAAGGTTGATTGATTTGTTTGAAAAATTGCAAATTGCCCAGTTGAAAGATGGTCGTTTTGGACAAAGAACACGTTTTCCAGCCTTTTAAAATAAAAATTAAAAATTGTGGGTAATTTCTGAATGAAAACTGTAATTTGTGTGTTTTTAGGTGAACGTTTTGGCTGGGAGCCAGGGCCGACGTGCCGCGTGACGTGGCGGAGAGCGGAAGAGCTTGTTTGTGTTTTGGTTCTGAGGGGAAGTTGCGAGAAGAAAGAAAGGAGGAGACGTGACGGGATTCTTGAAATTATCATCTTGGCTTCCCCCCAGCCATCTCGCCATTAGTGCCCCTGGGGTTCCGTCCGTGTGTCTATATTAAAGCGGTGGCATTAAAAAGTTCGGCCTCGTCGTCTGGCTCTTGACAGGTTGGTGTTTGCAGCTGGCGGAGTGATTAGCGCTAACCTTTAGCTCAGTTGTCATCGTTAGCCTGCGCTGTCGCTAGCTGACTCCAGCTAATGTCTGATATCCGTTACAGCAACGTGAAATATAAATATAAGTCACTATCGAGTCCAGCGACTCTTTTCATGTTGGTAAACGGTTAGTAAAGCCTGATTTAGCAACAGACACTTTGCTAATCCAGCAGCTAAACAGTGGGTGGAATGCTAACAAGTGCTAGCTAGCAAGCTAATGACGATTCGGCTTCGAGTAAAGTAAGATAGCTTTAGCAGCTATGTTCGTTTGTGATTATGTAAAACAAGAATGCTTTTGCTGTACATTTTCCTACTTTTACGATAGTGGTTTTTACCACTTCAGTTTTACTTCACCCCTAGTTTTTAGTAGGGGAAAGCAGTTCGTAAGCTAACCAGCTACCAAATACAAAACGCGTCACTTGTGTGAAAACATGAACCGCTGCCAACATGAGTTCCCGATTGTTTGTAGTCAACAAATGGCAGCTGCAGCTAAATCCAAATATTATGTGAGAACAGTAGTCATATAGGGCGCAGTGTTTGTTGACAGTCTGTGTGATAATTCTGGGTGAACACAGTCTGTTCTTGCTGCTTGTCTATGTTTTAAGACTTGCTCCTTAAAAGATGAAGCTCAAATTTGTAACTGCTCTGCAAAAAATTATATATAATTTGTGCCTCAAAGTACAGATACAACCAGCTTAAAGTCTGTATGTTCAGGATGCGGCTCGTTTTATTTATTTGACAGGATGGATTAACTTTTTTTCTATAATCTCCCATTAAAAACTTGTTAAATTGCAGAAGTATAAGAATTGATTTTGTGTTGAAGCATATACTGTCTTACAGAAACTAGCCTCAAAATGGGTTTCCTGTTGATGAACATAGCTTTGCATAAAAAGAAAACCGAGTCATGAAATAGTTTGAAAAATTCACTTCACCTAGCGTGAAGGCGTTATCCGTGTGGTTTTTATTCTACTTATTGGTCAGTTTGTTGTGATGAGAAAAATAGGCTGTGGTTTTGTTTTCTCATTAAAGCTGATGCTATGTTTGATTAGCTCATCCAAGAGCTCACAATTAAACATCACAGGGTGTATTTGAAGCCTGTGTTTTGTTATTATGAACAGCTTCTTGCATAAAATGTGGAAAAAAAGTGCTTTATGAAGAGATAAATGCCAAATATTAAATAGAGAAATTATTAGTGCACTGTATTTAAAATAAATAAATAAAAATCTTGCTCTGTTTAGATAAATAGTGAATGATTTTTTTTTAAATCACAATAATTTGTCTTTTTATTACTGTAATGTTGTTTTCGGTGGTGTCCAATTTAAAGAAAAAATCCTAAAGTTATTAAGCCCATAATATTTTGTAACACATGTTTATTAATTGTGACTTTATTATCGACCTCAATAGTTTTAATGATCTATTTTTATTATTTATTTTATGATTTTTATTGTAACTGCAGTGTTTCCCCTAGTTAACTTGCCATGGCGGGGTGCTCATCTCATCCATGATTTTTGTTTTGGGGGGGCATTCAGCATGAGGGAAGAGGCACCTTTAGCTTTTTAGCTAGAGCACCTGTATTGTGCGCTGCTAGCTTAGCACAACACGTTTGAGTTGTGCGCTGTTTATAGGGACAGTTTTTATGTGTGGGGGGTTCAGCTTGAGAAAAGAGGCAACGTGAGCACTGACTTTAGCTTTTTAGCTTGAGAGCTTGTATTTCGCACCGCTTGCTTAGTGCTATGTCAGTGCTGGGTGGGGGGGAGTTTGGTTTGATAGGTGGGGTGCTCAGTTCTATTGACGGGGTGGGGCACCCCGCCTATATAATAATAATAATAATAATGTCATCACAATGTCAGCACTGTATGTTTCCATACAATGGCTAATGGTAGGGGAAACACAACTGGTTCACAACAAAACAACTGTTGGCCTTTAAATGTCAATATCAACATTTATCAACTCTTTGGGAACAAGATCTGCAAAACGTAGTTGTTTTTTTTTTAAAAGAGGATACTTTACACTTTATTAGATGTTAAAAAGCAGATTTAATTGTGACGAGAAGTTCAAGATAGCGTGTACGCTGAACATTACGTTTGTATTTTGTCTTAGAATTCCACAAAATGTTCTACACATTACCCTCTCCGGATCATTGACTTATTCTATCCCAACAACAGCCGTCTGTTTTATTGGTAGCATTTATTCCTAAGTAAGTTAGTGAGTAATGCATGGTATGCATGCCAACAACAGCTCTTGCAGCAGAAACGGGCTCGGATAATCCGTGTGTGTGTTCGTTCACCCTGTGATGAATCACTGTTGTGTGTCACTCCAAAACAACTTCTGGTTGCTGTTACATTTCGAGGTTGTGGAGTTTATTTGATAATGATATACTAAAGATGCGACTTCTTGTGATAATTTCAGGTTATCAGAAAGTGTGTCTACAGTGACGTGCTGACATTTCCTTCTTGTTATGTGTCTTTAAAAACGACAACACATACAACTTATAGGCACACAACACAAAATATTCATATTAAATAAAAGACTCAAGTACAGATTAATTCCATTAACTCATGTTTTAGACACACAGAAGTTTGTTTCATTTTCTTCAGGACACACATCTGTTGAGTTTTATAACTGTGTTGCCATTTTCTGGGCTGTGTTTTTGTAGACACTTGTCAGTGAGAATGTATTTAACAGCATTCTCCAAACTGACAACAAACCCATGCAAACTTTGCATCAAACAGTGGACTTCCACATACAATTTGGCATTGAAGCGGCTTCCTTCAGGGTTGGGATGGATTTGTGCTTTAATACTAAAATGACTGTACAAATCTATAACGCTACTGTCATTATTTGAGGAAATAACTCATATTTCCTGTTTGGGTGAAGTTTTTCCAAAAGGCAGTACACACAGTGAACAAAAATAAGATATCCATTTTGAAATCCGGATTGACCAAGTTTTAATTAAGTCCAACAAAGATTAAGTTTATATCACAACATTTCCAAACATTAACCACTAATAATCTTTGTGTGTGTGTGTATACAAATAACAGCTGCTGTTTAGGCTGTGTTGGCACATAAATGATGAGTTCCTTCATCATTACTGTTGCTCTTTGCCACAACACACCCACACCGGACGGACGGCATAAATCGAGCAAGGCACTAGAATTATTTGGTGTTTTGTTGCTCTGCTTTTCTTTAATCACGTTAAGTTATATGAATACTATATAATGTATTTAAGTTTGCCTAAATAGGTCAGTATTTTCAGGTTTTATGTTTAATTCTTAATTATACATTTTACTGCTTCTTGCCTTACAAAACTTTCCCATATTAGAAACAAAACTTGTTCATTGCTTTTAAGTGATGTAAAGTCTGTATTTTATCAAAACTAAGACCAGAACTCGGAGTATGTTTTCACAAACACAATTGCTGTTCACATATTTATTCGGGTTTTGACCTAGTTTATTGTGCTAGTGGCTTTGCTGTACGTTATCGGAGTCTGAACATGCATTTGTCCTCTTGTGTCTCGCAGCAGAGGTGCAGATAGTGAAGTTTGGCCCACGAGATAGCGAAGATTCTGATTAGGTCATGGCCAGTCGAGGAGGAGCTTCACGACCCAACGGACCCAACGCTGGGAACAAGATCTGTCAGTTCAAGCTGGTGCTGTTGGGGGAATCAGCTGTTGGGAAGTCCAGCTTGGTGCTTCGCTTCGTCAAAGGCCAGTTCCATGAATTCCAGGAAAGCACAATAGGAGGTGACATCTTTACTTAAATGAGTTCCAAAACAATTTGATATTGGAAACATCTTAAAATGTGGCGCTGTGCTTCAGTGTATTTGTAACCTGATTTGTGGAAAGCATGTAGTTTGTTTGGTTATTTTGTCCACATTGTGCTGACTCACCCTCTTTACCTCATCCTGTAACCCCCCCAGCGGCCTTTCTCACCCAGACAGTGTGTCTAGATGACACAACAGTGAAGTTTGAAATCTGGGACACTGCAGGTCAAGAGCGTTACCACAGTTTGGCGCCCATGTATTACAGAGGAGCACAAGCTGCCATTGTGGTCTACGACATCACGAACGAGGCACGTACACCAGCTCCTAAGGCGCTACTGAACTTTTCTCAACATTTGTGCGACTTCTAGTTGTTGATGCCACTGGGGTTTATTTAGGATTACAGAGGACTCACAGGGGCATCAACAAGTTGCACGTTCTCTGTTTTTGCAGGAGTCCTTTGCACGGGCAAAGAACTGGGTGAAGGAGCTGCAAAGACAAGCTAGCCCTAATATAGTCATCGCTCTGTCGGGAAACAAAGCCGATCTAGCCAACAAGAGAGCCGTTGACTTTCAGGTCAGACTGCACATTCCCCTCCTGCCTGTTATAACACCTTTTACATCTCGTGTTTTATTTATGCAAAGACTTTCAAAGCAAGCATCACAAATAATATAATTAGAGATGCACGATATTGGTTTTTAGGCCGATATCCAATACTCCAATATTTTAAAACTTATTTGTCCAATAACTGATACGAATACCAAAGTTTTTTTCCCCTGGACCTACTTACAGAGACTACATAGCTTTATCTGCTGTGGAAATAAAATACTACATTATTCTGCACGGTCTTTGTTAATTTGACCTGCTACCAAATGCAGATGTCAAAAAGGGGCTGAAAATGATGCAACACTTCAACTTAGATTATGTTTAATGTCAAATTTAATCATGACATTTACTCTCTAACACAATGACAAACACTCGAACAGTGCCAATTTGTACATTTTCACAAATCTAAACTCAACCTGTTCACAAGTGAAAAGTGCATAAGTAGTGCATTAATAGATATACTTGACAGTTTCTTAAATAAAAAAACAACTTAAAACAGAAGAAGTAATGGTCGGAATGGTGGTTCTTATGATGGTTAATTAGGTTCAAAGTGTTGTAGGACTTCATTTTCGCTCCTCCTCACATCACTGACGCAGAGCAGTTCTTGCAAGTAGCAGTTCTGCTGTCAGTTTCCAACGCTTTAAAAAAAACTTCCACACCGCCGACATTTTCACTTCTTCCTCTCCCGCCGTGATCAGGTAGGTGCGCGTGACGTCATAACGTTGTGCTGGCGCTGCAGGCATCCTTGTCACTGGGTCGTCATACAAAAACAGCTCCTTTTATATTTATTTATTTACACACACACATATACATACATATATATATATAAACAAACATTGCCTTTTATATCGGTGAGTTATTTTGATGAAATGTCCGATATTTAACTTTATCGCTAATATCGTCCGATGCTGATACCATATCCTAAATATGATTAATTTCTGCAGCTATGATCTTTGTAACTTCAGCTGTTTTCTCCTGCGTGTAAATAAAAATGCTCAGAATATTTATGCTGTTTTCTTTGTGACAACAGGAGGCTCAGTCTTACGCCGATGACAACAGTTTACTTTTCATGGAGACATCAGCCAAGACATCTATGAATGTGAATGAGATATTTATGGCTATTGGTAAGTTATTATTATGTTTAACATGTTACAGGTTATTATATTATTATATGTATTATGTGTGTATATATATATAATATTATCGTATTGTGTTAACATGTTACTGGTAGTCTGTGCATTTGTCTGAGTCAACTCGATTGGTCCTTTTGCTATTGATCATCCTAAATGTATTAACTGGGAAAAATTGGCTTCTGTTGTCCTTAAATGAACATTTGCTTTTTATTTTATAGCAAAGAGATTGCCAAAAAGTGAGCCTCAAGCTCCAGGAGCCACCAGTGGTCGAACCCGGGGGGTGGACCTGACGGAAACCGCCCAGCCAGCCAAGGCTCCATGCTGCTCAAACTAACATGAAGAACACACTTTTCTTAGACCTGTATACTAGTAACTAATGTGGTCCATGCCCCAGATGCCACTGCAGCTACTAATGTCACCTGTTTAAAACAACAAAAGATAAACAAAAAACCCCGGCTGCCCCCCCCCCCCCCCCCCCCCGCACCGCCCTCCTTACTTCAGTTTTTCCTGCAGTTGCAAAGTCGGTGCCGTCTCACTGAAGGTTCTTTGCAGCTCTGCCTCTTTCTTTGTGCTACCTGGTGAAGCCTAACTCTTACTCTCTGCCGTCCAGCTGGTTGCATCCATGAATTAATCTGAGTGATCAACGATCGCAGATATGAAACACACAAGTCCATCATCTTCGCTCCAACATGTTCATAAGAGATTCATTTAAAGGAAGTGATCACATCCTCTTTTTGAAATAGCCCAAGACCTTACTACAGCTTTTTTTTTTTTTTTTACACCAATCTTCTGTTTTGATCATTTTTGATGACTCTGATGATTATTGTTTAATAGGATTTTGTTTAAATTCTGGACTTCTATTTATGCATATTTACATGGGCTAAAATAGAAACAAAAACACAGTTTTTACCTTTTGGTCTGCAGTAGCACAAATAAAATATTAGGGACAAAATGGACAATTTCTGGTGAGAACGAGAAAGGGAAAAAAAACTATTTATCTAAAAGTTAAAAAAAAAAACAAAGGTGACTACAGTGATTTCACCGTCTCTCTGCCTCCCCCCCGATGCTCCAGTCAATTCTCACACTATAGAGTACATTCACTCCCTCCACCTGTAGGCTTCTTTCTGGGGCTGTGCCGGCTTGGAGTTGGTCCATAGTGGCATTGTGCAATGTTTTCCAGTGTTTGCCCTGCAACCCCCCCCGTCCACCCATCAAGGCTCGAGACCTTCAGTGACCACCTCTTCATTTGACATACGTTGCGGCCTTTCATAAATCTTGATGAGCATCTCATTTTGGTCAAACCGTTGGTTTTCTGTCTTTTGATGATTTCTAATTATGCAATTAGCCTTTTTCATCATGTCAGTGTTGCTGGGCCCCTGCGGGGTTTGCACAGGGTTAACGACGACGAAGGTGGTAGTGAGGGAGGAGAGTTGCAATACGTGAGTTCTTTGTCATTTTTAAGGAATCATAATTATTTGACACCTTGATTAGAAAAGTGCTTTAGACGCATACGTGTGTCACTTTTGTTCTAACTCCTCCTGGACTGGCTGGTGACTGATTTCATGTATAAACTTAGTAACATGCACATTATTGTGTGTGCATGTTTGAACATGCGTTTGCACAATAAAACGCATGGAAGACTTCTCCCAACTAAATCTTTTTTTTTTATTATTTTGCCCAACCTTAACCCTCCTGCAGCCCTCTGATCAAAATGACCCACAAAGCCTCAGTTTCTGATTAACACCTCTGACCCAAGGGCAGCAGGAGGGTAGATCAACTGTAGCCTGTTACCTTTCCTGCACCATTGTCAGCACTTGCATTTTTCCCTGTCCCCTCTTGTTACACACAGACTTTAATTACATAGAATACTCCTAGTCAGTATCTTTTTTTACTGATCTGTCTTACTCATGCCTTGCACTAATAATGCTCATGAATTTATGTTGTCATAATCTCAGTGTTATAAATATATACATAATATAAATATATAAATAATATACTGTAAATATGGTGTTGCAGTGTAGTTACTTTTTTATTTTCCTAGTGATGGGACTAATGCTTGCGAAGGAGTTGTCTAGATAATCGTTAGGAAGGAAGATAATGTACAGTTAGCAAGAAAAGCAGCTACAATCTGGGTTTGGAGTTTCGTTGCCGTCTCTTTTTTCACACAAACAGTTAAATTATAATCAGTGGTGGTCTTTATAAATATATGTAGTGTTATTAACAACAAAAATTACATTGCATTTATTTAGATGTCTGTCTTGTACTCTTTCTCTCAGAAAAGAAATATGTTATACCCCCAAAGTTGGTTTCCTGTTTTTTGTTGGTTTCCAAATAAAGTTTTTGTTGGCTTTTTAAGATTTTTTTTTTTTTTTCCAGAACTACTGGTTATAAAAGTTTCTGAGAAGCAGGAGCTATTAAATTAAAAACGATTGCCCCTCTGCCTTTAAAAAATAAAAAAAAATATTGCAGAAATGCACAAAAAAATTAACGGCTGTCTGCTTATAAAAAACATGGAGATTTAAATTAAATAACGTGATAGGGCTTGTTTTTTTTTCTCGCAAACGCTTCTTTGCCGCGACACATTTACATGCAAGTTTTACAGTACTATTACATAACCAAATAAAAAAAAGGAACATTTATCAAAGTAATCAAGCAGGTTGTGTGTACATGTATTTATTGTTCTTGATGTTGTATATATGCCGTCTTCAAAAATGAAATTATATCAGATTTTGGGCTACTGCCTAACATTTTTCTAGATTTGACCTTGAGTTTTTGCCCCAGCTGGTTGGATTTTGTGACCCCCCCCCCCCCCCCCCCTCCTGAGCTGCGGTTGAAGCTGGTCTGTCTGGCGCCCCCTGGAGGAGGAAAATGGCGCTACAGCCTGAAATTGAAAATAAGGATGAGCGCCATGTCTGATCCTCCGCTTGTGGAGTAAAGTGGACAGCCGAGCGATCGTTTCCCCGGGGCCTGCGCTCCCCTTCGGGTTTCGGGGGTGACCTCATGGCTGACAGCGCAGGGATTCAGCAAGGTTCACCGGCCATCGGAGCTGCGGGCCTGGTTCCGGCCGCTCCCGGAGCCGGAGGGACGGAAGGCTCCGGCGCGGCTGGAGGATCCGCACGTATCACCGCGAAGAAGGAGCAACTCCGCTCGGCACCGCGGCCGAAGAAGCTGGAGAAACTCGGAGTGTATTCATCTTGCAAAGTATGCGCAATATGCATACACTTAGGAACTGTTTAGGTTCTGCGTTTGATCCAAAATTAAAGGCATGCTGGTGGACTAGGCTGAGTTTCCTAAATGCAAGCGCAGCAAAGGAAGCCATTGCCGCACTTTAGTTTTTTTCTCGTTTTAATTGTACAGGCACGAACCAAGATGAAGAATTTGAACACAAAGTGTTTTGTTTGCTCCAGGACTTTTCGGCAGGGGCCTTTTCGCTGCAGACTGTGTTGTATTTTTACAGTGATGCTGTTTCTGTCAAGGTGGGGGGGTTGGTGAGCGTAAACATTGGCTCGACGCTTTCGGGAGTTGCTGGACGTGAGCGCGGGGGGGGGGGGGGGGGGGGTTGTATCCCAGCCTGTGCTCGTGCTCGGTCTCGTGCTTTCACAAGATTTCCCAGTGTCCGAATAGTCTGTTGGAACCCAGCAGTGAATGTAGAGCGTGTTTCTGGGGGCTCACGCAGCGTTTGAGCCGCAGAGAGGGACGGAGTCTTTGTTTTGACAGGGTGACAGCTGCTGCGGTGGGCGGAGTTTGTTGTGGTTTCAGTGCGCATGCGCAGATCTGCATAACCAGCTGACCGTGCTGACAAGCTTCAGCTGTGTTTTTCTAAGTTTCCTTAAATTATTTTAATCCGAGTGACCTTTCAAAGTTTTAACATGTACAGTATTGTGCAAAAGTTTTAAATCATCCCAAATATCTTTAGACTTTACATCTAAAGAGCCAAGATTTGTTACATTTTCAGAGTTCTCTTAATCAGATCAGATTCTGGCTGCTTTTTCACTCATTTGACCACGTGCATTGTGCGCCTTAAAAAGATCCCATTTAAAAAAAGAAACTCTGCTACATTATGTGTTGTTTATGTAGATCCAGGACACGGCAAATCTGGACTCATTTCTGTTAGTTGAAGATGCTCCACTTCTGATCTGTTTTAAATGAAAATGACAGAATTTGATTTCAAGATCTGAAACAATTGCTTAGCTTTAAATATTGTCTTATCAGTAAACTACTTTACCTCACCTGTCAGGCGTGGATCAGAGTGTCTAAATAAAAATAGTCAAAAGTTTCACTGTATGAATGTTTATCAGTTACTGTAGCTTCTCTTATGCAGCGTTACTTTTTCCCCACTCACTGTGACTATAACTATGACTATACCTGTACACTTAAATTCAGGGTGGATTTGCTCATTAATCAATTTCTCCTTGAACTTGTTTTCGAAGGCTGAAGGACCTTGTAAGTGTAATGGCTGGAAAAGTCAGAACCCCCCACCTACACCACCCCAGACAGACCAGCAGTCCAACACAGTCAACCTGCAGGAGCCCTGTCGGAGCTGCTCACACACTTTGGGTATACGAGCGTGAACAGAACATAATCCTGCAGAAAAAAAAAGTTTATTCTGTGTTACTCAAGACATGTTTGTCTTTCCCAGGCGATCATGTGACTCACCTTGAAAATGTGTCAGAAGAGGAAATGAACAGACTATTAGGAATCGTCTTGGATGTGGAGTATTTGTACACATGCGTTCACAAAGAAGAGGACGCTGACACCAAACAAGTCTACTTTTCTCTTTTTAAAGTAATTTCCTGTTGTTGCTGATATTTATTCTACAAATACCGTATTTTTCGCCGTATAAGTCGTGGTTTGTTGCATAATTTGTATGCCCTGCGACTTATAGGCTGAAGCGATTCATTCCGACTGAAAAAAAATGAACACTACCATTTTCAGCCACTAGATGGCAACAGATTAGCAAGTTATGCCATTGTATCATGTAATAGGAAAATGTGGCTATAATGACAAATTCAAAATGTTTAAGACAAAAACAACTGGACTTTATTTATTGTACTTTACTTTATACTTTATTATTTTTGTCTTGAACTTACCATGTCCTGGTGGATGACTGAGAATCTTCACCAGCTATTAATGACACAATCAGCTTGCCCAAGTCCCCCACCTTCATTCTGCTCGCTGCTAATGTGCATTTTTAAGGAATAGTTCAACTGACACACATCTTTGCTATAATTTCGAGCAAACAAATAATTATTTTTAGGTGGTTATTGTTAAATTTGCACAGCGACTCGTCCCGTGCACGCGCTTACTTCCACCTATCGGCTTTTGAAATACAGCTGACTGTCAAAGTGCATTTATTAAGCAAAATTTAGACTGAGACACACCTTTACTATAATTTCGAGCAAACAAATATTTGTTTTTAAGTGTTAATCTTGTTAAATTCTTGTTAAAGTCTTCCCGTGCACGCCCCAGCAGCCGCCATTTGACAGCCAGTCGATTTTTGGCACAACACCAGCCCAAATTTCCAGGTTGTCAGCGGTGACGCGTAACAAATGCGACACATAATAGATACGACGTATACGGTGAAGTGACGTATTTATGGATTTTTCCACTTTATTAGACATATTTGGACTGATGCAACTTATACGGTGGTGCGACGTGTACGGCGGAAAATACGGTAAGTTTGTCCAGCTCTGCTTTGCATTCACTTAAACTTCCAATATTCTGTTTATCTTCCAGCTGTTGAGAAAATCTATCCTTCAAATGGGGAAACCAATGTTAGAAGCACAGGAGAGTCCTCCGTTTGAAAAACCCAGCATTGAGCAGGTAAAGTCTAATAAAAAAAACAACCTTCATTTCATTTATCACTTGATATCCTGACTCAAATTTCCTGTGTGTTCACCAAAAAGGGAGTGAACAATTTCGTCCAATATAAGTTCAGCCATCTCCCATCAAAGGAACGTCAAACCATCATGGAGCTGGCTAAGATGTTTCTGAACCAGATCAACTACTGGCAGCTAGAAACGCCCTCTCAAAGACGCCAACGGGTGCCCAATGATGACGCAGCGGGGTACAAAGCCAACTACACACGGTAGGACTGAGCAGATGCTCCTGCAACCTAATTCTGAGCTTTTTTTTTTTTCAAACAAAAAAAAATGTTTTGTTCTGTTTGTAGATGGCTCTGCTATTGCAATGTGCCTCAGTTCTGTGACAGCCTGCCCCGCTACGAGACCACGCAGATCTTCGGCCGGACGCTGCTGCGCTCTGTGTTCACTGTGATGAGGAAGCAGCTGCTGGAGCAGGCCCGGCAGGAGAAGGACAAGCTCCCCCCTGAGAAACGCACACTCATCCTCACACACTTTCCAAAGTAAGAGACACGAAAGACAATTACCAAAAAAAAAATAGTGCACATAATGCATGCACTACAGATTTGTACACGTCTACTCAACTAGTGTTAGATCTGGAGGTCTGAAACACATCAACGTCAGATGAAAGACACTCATACAAGAAAACCACATTTTACAGATCACACACAAAAACCTGAGTGCACTTTTTTTATTTTTAAACACAATTCAAATAACAACTAAACAAACATGAAATCTGCAAATGATAACTCAGATTTGTGTGTTGTATTTTAGTTTTGCACCTTCAGGGCCTTTGCGAACCACAAAAAGTACTTGATTGACTTTTACTTGAATGTAAACTAAATAGGGGGATGACAGGCTTATTTTTTTTTTTAGATTAAGTAAACAAAAAGTGCAGGATTAGGACATCTAATCCTTGTTATCTACTATGTTACAACATGGATTCTTCCCTCTGTTATCACATGAATGCAGCGTCTGTGTTTTTCTCTGCTCAGGTTCTTATCTATGCTGGAGGAGGAGGTGTACAGTCACAGCTCCCCTATCTGGAACCAAGACTTCCTGGCAGGAGCTGCAGGAGGGCAAATACCCATCCACACAGGTAACACACACACACATTTTGTTAGCACGCGTGATTATTTTCACTTTTGAGATTTGCAAGGCAAATAGGAATACAATGACTCAATCAGACACCATCTAACAAAGTTAAGTCAGGTCCTCTGGATGGATTCTTCTTTGCTGAAATGTTTCGTCTTTTATCCAAAAGACTTCTACAGACTGAGGAGCTGCAACAAACTCAGTCTTATAAATAGCACCTTCTCATAGTGGATCAACCAGTTTGTTGGTGACAGCCAAAACTAGTTGTTCACATGCAAAAGGAGGACCATCAGCCTAACAGTGGATCATTAGTGCCCTAAGGCCGCTTGCTATTCACAGAGGGTTGAATGATACTGGCAATAACAGCTTTGTAAGAGGGGGACAGTTGAACATGGAGGCCTCCACTCCTGTTTAATGATGGATGGTTTCTTTTCACAAAGATGGCCTCCTTTACTCCTCTCTCAAACTTTAACACACCAGTCTGTTATTGATAATAGACTGGTGTGCATAAAAAAGATCTGAAGCTCTCGACCTTGACCTCTCTAAGTGGCTTTAAGAATCTATTGGACTCCTGGCAGGGACCAATGCAGACATGTTCCTGTTTTTAGTTTTCTACATTTGCCTTAGAATCTAGCTGGTTTTTGTTACTTTTTTTGACATCTTATTTGTAAAAAAAAATAAAATCTGTATGCCTTTTTGTGGCTGTCTATTGTTGTCGCTGTTGTCCATTGTTGTCATCATTCTTTGTTGAAATCAGGTTTCTCTTGTAAATGAGTCCTCGAGGCTCAATGGGATTTACCTGTATAAATAAAGGTTGAATGAAAAAAAAAAACATTGTTCCTCTCTGTCAAGGATGTGAACATCTTCATCCCTGAAAGAGTGACCGCTGGCCTGGAGATGAGTGTAGACCGCAGAGTCCTGGCCTGATGATGTTGATCTTCTGTGCTGGTCCATCCTTTTGGCCAGTGGCTGTTTAGTTTCCCCGATGTAAGACTGATCACAGCCCTCCTGACACTGAACAGCATACACAACATTAATCTGTTTGTGCCGGGGGACTGGATCTTTGGGATGAACCAGTCTTTGCCGTAATGTATTTTGGGGTTTAAAAGCCACTGGGACGTTATGTTTAGAAAATAAACAACTCAGTTTCTCTGATACTCCCTCAACATATGGAATGACCACTGGTCTGGGTTCCTTTTCACCTGATGGCTGACTGGTGTCCTGTTTGGGTTTCTTCCCTGCTTTCAAGAAGACCAAATTAGGGCTCCTCCGATGCCAACCTTCTGTCTCACCCCCTGTAGGACCAAGTTCCGAACCTGGGGCGACAAAACCTTCTCCATTGTTGCCCCCACCCTCCGGAACTCACTGCCCCAACAACTTGGTGCCTGTTCGTGCATGTTTTGCTGTGTTTTTATGTGTTATGCATTGTTGATTTTATTTTTTTAACTCATGTAAAGCATATTTGAGTATTTAGAAAAGTGCTATACAAATAAAATGTATTATTACTATTATTATTGTTATTATTATTATTATATCCACATTGCTCCAGGGCCTGTCTTGTGTGGGATTTCTCCTTCTCCCTAGCTCCTGAATTAGTGGGGACACCAATAGTTCTGGCTGTCACCAACCAACAAACTAGTTGATCCACTATGAGAAGGTGCTATTTATAAGACTGAGTTTGTTGCAGCTCCTCAGACTGAAGAAGTCTTTTGGAGTTTCAACAAGATGAATCCGTTCAGAGGACCTGACTTAACATTGTTAGATTTTTCTACCTGGATCAGGATAATCAGACTCTATACTTTCCTTCTTTCTGTGTAGTGATTAGTGCTCCTCCAGTGTCCAGGCCAATCTACTACAGCACCAGTCCTGTGTCTGTGGACCCGTCCACATGTGGCAGTGTCAGTCCTGCCAGGAAACCTGCCTCAGCCCTGGAGTCAAACTCAGGTATGATTAAAAAAAAAAAAAAAACAGGAATTAAACAGGTTTACTGTGCAGGTTTAACCCACCCCTACATCTACCCCAGTTTAAATCAAGATACCACAGTGAGATCAAAGATTAAATAAAGTAGGTTTATTTTGCTTCTTAAACTTCAAGATAGTCTCAGAGTCGTTTCATCAGCCATGACGATAGACAAAAGGAAAACCCAGAGAAAGTTTCCTGATGATGCAAACAAAGCTGCTGCAGCTGAGCTCATCGTTATCCAGCTTCCAATCCTGTTTGTCGTTGTTTCAATTCTGATTCTGTATTTTATGGGCATTCATAAAAGCTAAACGGATGAGGATTTTGAAGTGTCCTGTGAACTGTGCTTATAGTTGGAGAAAAGCGTAAGGCATCAGAACCTCTTCACCACGAAGAGAACAAGAGACCCAGGGTGCTGGGAGACATCCCCATGGACCTCATCAATGAAGTCATGGCAACCATCACTGACCCTGCTGCCATTCCAGAGGTAACCTGATGTTCTTTATGTGGCCTTCTACACTGTGACATGTGCCCTTAGTTATAATGGATCTTGTAAGATCTAAAAGGTTTAATGATCAAGAGTTTCTGCCTCCCTTCCTGGTCAGACCAGTCTGCTGTCGGCTCATTCTGCACGCGATGAAGCGGCCCGCCTCGAGGAGCGAAGAGGAGTGATTGAATTCCACGTCATAGGGAACTCCCTCAACCAGAAGCCCAATAAGAGGATCTTGATGTGGCTCGTTGGCCTCCAGAACGTGTTCTCCCACCAGCTTCCCAGCATGCCCAAGGAGTACATCACCCGGCTGGTCTTTGACCCGTGAGTTTTTCTAACTGTGCTTCATCACGCACGTAGCAGAGTTATAGTTAATAGATGTGTTTTCCTGCAGGAAACACAAGACTCTGTCATTGATCAAGGATGGGAGAGTTATCGGAGGAATCTGCTTCAGGATGTTCCCATCCCAGGGTTTTACAGAAATTGTCTTTTGTGCCGTCACGTCCAACGAACAGGTCAAGGTGAGAGTGCTTCCTGCTTTCGTTTTCAATAGCTCCACTTGTGCAGCCAGAGTCTGACGTTTGTCTGTTTCTCTGCAGGGTTATGGAACCCATCTGATGAACCACCTGAAGGAATACCACATAAAGCATGAAATACTGAACTTCCTTACTTATGCTGACGAATATGCGATTGGTTACTTCAAGAAACAGGTGTTTATTGAAATGTGTGCACACCATCAACACGCTAATGAATATACTGTAGCTGCAAAAAATAAAGAGCCCTCTCCTCGTCCTTTTCAGGGTTTTTCAAAGGACATCAAAGTTCCCAAAGCAAAGTATGTGGGCTACATCAAAGACTATGAAGGAGCCACGCTCATGGGCTGTGAGCTCAACCCCAGCATCCCTTACACAGAGTTCTCTGTTATCATCAAGAAGCAGAAGGAGGTACGTAGATGACATTTGAAAAAGGTCTATCACGTTTCTGTTTTTCTAATTCATCCATCTTCTTTAAAACCCCCATAGATCATCAAGAAGCTCATAGAAAGGAAGCAAGCTCAGATCCGAAAAGTCTACCCAGGCCTGTCCTGTTTTAAGGACGGAGTCCGGCAAATTCCCATTGAGAGCATTCCTGGCATACGTATGTTTACTATGAACTGCACAGCATACAGTGTGGAGCAACTCGCTCAGCTATCTATCAGAGGTGATTGTTTTTTTTCTGATTTGATTTTACTGACAGGTGAGACTGGCTGGAAGCCCCCAGGCAAAGGGTAAGAGTGTGAAACTTTGTCTTTATGCATTACTTCAACTAATAATTTAATCCAGTCGTAGACTTTGATCTTGTTTTCACATGAGATCCGTTTGCATTTACAGCATATAAAATACATGATTTTTGTTCTAGATATAACACACATACATCGATCATGGACAGAATAAACTAGTTTATTTTTCTTCTGCTGTTGTAGGAAGGAACTGAAGGATCCAGACCAACTGTACAGCACTCTGAAAACTATTCTCCAGCACGTCAAGGTGAGGGACAGAAACTCTCAGCTCAGTTCTGTGAGATCAACGGCCAAACATCTTATACTGAAGACAAACAGTGATAATAATGGTTCATTATGCCTGTATAGTCTAAAAGCTTGTTAGATTGGCTACTTCAGCCATTTCTCCATCACCATTCAATTCTGCTTCTTTTCTACATCCGTGCCATCTCCTGTTCAGTTGTCATGTAACACACAATCCGACACACTTATTCTTACAAGCTGATGTGTTTATTTTTAGAGTCACCAGAATGCCTGGCCTTTCATGGAGCCTGTGAAGAAAACAGAGGCTCCTGGTTACTACCAAGTCATTCGCTTCCCCATGGGTATGTGTAATATGACTGCTTCTTTGGGGTTCAGGTTAAACATATATGCTAGACCCGAATAAAAAAAACGCCATAGTGTTTACTCTGGATAAGTATGCACAATTTGTAATTCCACTTGAGCTCAAGTTGAGCAACGGCGCTAAAGAGCTTCTTTTTTTTTTTTTTCTGATTTAGCAAAATTACACGGCGTCAATGTTATACATTAAGGAATTTGGAAATAACTTTTAAAAATGATCACAAGCACAAGGATCAGGTGTGAATTTAAGGAGACAAGTGAGTCTGTTGTATATAGGACGGAATGTGACAAAATGAAATAAATACATAATACAAACATAATTAAATGTACAATTAAATGATTAAATATGCCATTAAATAAAGAAATGTGCCTTTTAAATTATTTCATGATTTATTTAATTTTGTCACCATGAAATTATGTTAACTGTCAATCTCACTCGTCAAACTCAGTGGGCGGGACTAGGGCGGCTCGTGAACAAACCCTGACACCTGATTGGTTGCTCCTCACAGCAAGCGAAGACAAATCGACTGCAGATAATGGATTGATCCACAGGCAAGAAAATGTATACCAAATCTTTAGGAAGCGGTAATTGTGTTTACGTGTGTTTGGATGAAACCTTTTTTTCATACCATGAATGTAAAGAAGACGACGGCGCGCTTTTAGGAGCTGCATGGAGGGAGCTTCCATGTATGAACTTATTCAGACCGAAGCAATGGATTTTACATGATCAACATTAGTCCCGCCCACTGAGTTTGACTGACTGTTAACATAATTTCATGGTGACACACAAAGGTGGAATGGGACAAAATGAAATAAATAAATCATGAAATAAATAATTTTAACTGTGTATTTAATAATTTAATTGTATATTTGCATATTTATTAATTTAATTATTTAATTGTGTATTTGTATTTAGCAGCACTTCCTGTAACGGTTTCATTTGTGACTCGCAGATCTGAAGACGATGAGCGAGCGTCTGAAAAACAGGTACTACACCACACGTAAGCTGTTCATGGCCGACATGCAGCGCATCTTCACCAACTGCCGCGAATACAACCCTCCGGAAAGCGAGTACTACAAGTGTGCCAACATACTGGAGAAGTTCTTCTACACCAAGCTCAAAGAAGCGGGGCTCATCGAGAAGTAGATGAGGTTTTTCTCCTCCGAAGCTGAGAGATGAGATCAGGGGTGAAGGAAACAAGAAAAAGCCTACCGATTGTGGACTGGGAAGGTCTCGCAAGCAAGGTGAAAATGCTTTCTTGTTTCGGCGCAGATCCTGAATCAGAACTTCAGATATTTATTTAAAAGGCGACCAAGACGAAGGTCCTCAGTGAAGAACCGTGAGATTGTTTGATTGTAAACACGAGAAATATGGTCTTTGTGTTTCAACACCAGGAAAGAAAGATCATTACAAGATGTCAGATGAATACGCGTGAAACAGGTTCCATTATTTAGTGGCTGAATGCAGCAAAAATGACACCTAGTTGAATATTTGTTTGATTGACTCGTGTTTTTCCTCTCACTCGTGTAGGGATGTCACATCAAGGAGCCAAATATTCATTCAAGTGTTTCCTGTGAGGAAAATGAGTTTTTGTTCAACTCTTTTTGCTTTTACGAGCATGTACAGCTCCAGTGGGGTTAAAGTTTGTCTGTGATGAGTTCGTCCTGCCAAAAAAAGAGGAATACAGATTTTAATTTTGTAAATATTTTAATAATTTTAAAGCACTTATGCCAACTGTATATTTTAATATCTACATTTTTTTTTCTTTTCTATTAAGCCACAAGCTGCAGTTTGACTATCCAAATGCACTTTTAGTTAAAAATGTAGCCTCTTCTCATGAATTACACTGTCAACTAAAACTAATTTAATTATCTAGAGTCTATTCTTATTTATGTGCTGAAATTCAGAAGAGTTACGTTTAGGACAAAGGTCTTAATTTATTGTCTTATTTTTGTCCTGCAAATTGAGATTGAAAACTTTATACTTTGGGGGGAAAAAAGCAAAAACTGTGCAATACTTTGTAGTTTTGCTGTTTTGTAAAGAAGTGTTTGTACTTTCCAAACTTTAGGGGAAGAGAAGAAAAAAAAAACAATCTTTTGTAAAACGTCTAATGATTTCAAGCTTTGTACAGTTTGACATAGATTTAGCCTATTTTATAGACTGAATAAAACAAATGCAAAGCTAATCTGTTTTTGACTCGTCAATAAATTTCAACTTGTGCATAAAAAATATTCCAACCTGCAATTATTTACCATAACCGCTTTTAGAAGAAGTATGCAAGTAGTAAGGAGCGGTAAATGTTTATTATCACATACGATATCAAGTTAAAGGGACATCACACGTACTTTCAGCTTCTCGTTATTGAAAGGAACTTGGATATTTCTAAAAAAAACTGACCATTTTTAGGAAATATAACTAAATTTGACTACATTTGAAAAAAGTAACAATAGGGACGAAATGCACAAAATTATCTAAAACTAATCTTATATACCTAAAGAAAGCACAGAGGTAAATAAAAGCACTTAACATCCAACAAGTCACTACAAAGCAACTTTTAGCGACATCCAACAAAAGACTCGTTGTATTTCTCAAGTGACTGCTGGCTGCGCGCAGATTTCCGCGCAGACCTCCTATCAGACTTCTGCTTGAAAACAGGAGAGTTGAGAAACTGCAGGTCTGTGAATTTGTCGCCACGGCGAAGTTTCCTGTTGGAGGAGAAAACAATTGTTTAGCACTTGGAGTCGTAGTAGTAAAAAAAAAAGGAAATGCATCAAAGAGAGCAGGCTCCAAGCGCGAACGTACGCGTTTAAGGAAGGTTCCTTGTAGTCGACTGACGTGGTGCAGCGCCGCTTGCGACCAGGAACAGGCGTGGCGCATCGAGCATCTGAGAGACGTGAGCCGCCACAGAAGTTAAGGAAGGGTGCAGGTTGCAGATTGGTAACATCGCACAGTCTTAAGCCCTGCCCCTCTGTCCTTATACCACCCCCACCTGCAGATATGTGGAGAAAGATGTGATGGAAACAGACTTGTGTATTTACATTCAAAAGTGAACACCTAACCCATTCTATAAGCCCAGAGAAGTGAAAACGGTCAAAATATGACCATCAGCTGTACAAACAGTGGTGACTGAAGATATTTTTTCCGAACGGTCGATTCTGTAAAGTGATTTGGGAGCAGAGTAACAAATATCAACTCACGTTTCTGGCTCGTTTTGAGTCTCTGTGGTTTTTGGTGAGGCAACAGAGAAGAGGCTTCGCACGAGTTGTCTCTAAAATTGGACAGGACGTTGTTTATTCTCGTCATCTCAGCCTCAACAAGTGGACTGACAGGAAGCAAACGGTCCATCTGCTCACTGGGAGGCCCTGAAACAAACACAGTCAACTTCAAGTTTTCATATTTTACAATCTGATCAATAAATGAAGGTTTCAACAGCAACTATTAATCACTAAAGACTCAACCTAAACAAACATGCTGTGTACTTTGCTATTGACATGTATCACTGATAAACACGTGAACACAAATGTCTACATTAAGCTACATTATGTATACAAATGAAGTTCTGTCTTTTGTCAAGTCTTATTATTTTACTGCACAAAAAAACATCCTGGGTTGTCCTCAGGCTGGTTTGGTGAATAGCAAGCGGCCATCAGGCTTCTAATGATTTATTGTTATGCACCAACGATTGATTGTTAAGACTGATGGTCCTCTTTTTACTATGGAACACCAAAAATGCTCTAAAATAAATAAAGCATGATGAAATAAGTATCTAAGCTCATTATAATGAAAAGTTTTCATTTTTATTTCATAATTGTGCTTTTCATAACTACTTATTTATTTCACAATGTCACTTTTCAGCAGTGACTTTAGCTGTCAATCAGTGTCAGTGGGTTGGATCTTCACACCCACTGGCTGATCCTTCACATCCATTCGTTTTCCTGCTGCTAACTGGTACAGCTAACATAGCAGCTAGTAGCGACTTGCTAGCTCAACAGTCATCAAAGATGGCAGAATTGCATGAACTTTGTTCAGCTCAGGTAACTTTAGCAGAACAAATTCTTAATGTGTTATTTGTTTATTTAATTTTGAGCATTTTGGTGTTCCATATTTTACATGTGAAAAGCTAGTTTCTGGAATTCCACAGCAGACTGGCCTGAACCACTTTGAAAAGGTTCTATTTGTACGACAGAGTTGGTTGGCAGGCCTCAGACTGATGAAGTCTTTCGAATAAAAGACAAAACGTTACAACCAAGAAAAATCTGTCCAGATGGCCTGACTTAACTTTTTTGTAACTGCAAAAAAGACAGAATTAATAAATGGGAAGTAAACAGATCATTTACTTACTTTGGGAATTTTCATCTCTAGCAGAGACGTTAGCAAGAGTAGAATCAGGCAAGTGAGGACAATTAGCTTCATTAGAGTCAGAGTCTGCCTCTTTGAAAACTGACTCCTCCTCATCAACAAAAACTGAAAATTATAGAAGCAGGTGATTATTATCACTTGTAAAAAACAGGCATGAACCTGAAGCTTTAAATGGGTTTTGTAAATACCGGTACTCACCAAAGAACCCTCGACTTGGAGGGACGTCATTTATTTTCCGTGGGACAGCGTTTGAGGACTGGCGTCTACGAGTGGTGATCCCTCTGATCTTGTCAGGAGAAATCGGTCTCCCTTTTGTTTTCTTAGGGACATAAAGGCTGTCGTCCGAGTCTGAGGACGGAGAGGATGAGCTGGTTTCACTTTGTTTGGAAGCTGCACATGCTGCTTCGGTTTGAGCCTCCTTGTTTATGGGTGTGGCTGGTTGACTGTTCTCTGCTTTGGCCTTAAACGGTGTGACGTGGATAGCCTCCTCACAGTCAAAATCAAACGTGTCGTTAAAGCCGAGTGATGTGTTAAGCTTATTACTATGTGCTGGTGGTGCTGTTTTGGCCCGTGTGGCTGAACGGTCCCGACTGTTAGAGCGAGCTCTGGGTTTGGTATTCTCCCATGGTTTCTTTAATTGGGCACGGTCTGGTTTGCGGCCTCTGTCAGGTTTCTGCGACGCTGGTTCTAGTTTGGAGCAAGGCTGCTGCTGCTGTTGGGCTTGCTTCCTGGTTGGCTGCTTTGACTTTTTGGGAGGAACATGCTCAGGAGTGGAGTGACGCATTTCCTCAGTGTTGCTGAGATCTACTGCTTCTGGCTCTGCTCCTTGTTGGTTTGGATGCAGATCTCTACTGTCACTGTGAATAGGACTTGAAAGTATAGCACCAAAGTCTGCAAACGGGTCTCCTTCACTTAACAAGCTTGAACGTCTAAGGCGCTCAGATCTTCGCCTGCTTTTTCCGTCTGTGTGTCTGCGTCTCACACCAACTGTGGATGGTAAGGTAATCTCTTTGTCACAATACTGTTCATTCCTTCTAGAGGTTGGAGGATCTATGTGAAATAAAACAAACATCAGTGTGATTAAAATAAATTAATTCCGGGTCGCAACAAATGTAAAAGTTATTAAAACGCCACAAATAAAAATAAAACAATAATACCTTCACAAATTGGTGAAGCTTTACTCAGAAAGGGCTCCTCAAGTTTCTGGCTGCTCCTTTGAAAAATGAAGGTAAAAAATGTTGACAAGACAGTTAATATACAGAACACAACATCGTTTTCGGATAGTCTCTTCATTTTAAAACTCACCTCGCTGAATGAGGATGGTGCTGAGTTTCCACGTGAATGTCTGCAGGTTTAGTCTAGCTCAGCAAAAAAAAAAGAAATGCAACAATTGAAGCAAATTAATTATTTGGCATGGTTTACAAAATTATTCTAGAAAACTTACTTTTAGACTTGAAACCTAAATAATTTAGACTAGTTCAATATCAGTCTTGAACAGTAAACAAGTTATACATGTTAGAGAGTGTACCATTGAAGCACTAGCTGCCAGAGCTTCCTGCTCTTTCAGCTTCCTCTTCAGGAGTAGCAGGTGAAGGAACAGGGCTTGTTGCTCCCTCTTTAGCTGCAGGATCACAGCATTGGCCTGCCTCACTTTCTCCTTTTCAGCTTGAAGGGCCACAGCCAGCGCTTTGTTGTTCAGCTGTGCACCCTTTAAGATGCTGTGTGTAGAATTAGGCCCTGGGAGAAAGTTTGGTCAGAACATTTGACTATCCTGCATAACAACAGCTGCCTGAAACATCTGTATGCATAACCATATAGACATGCACTACAATTGTTATAAATAAGCTTGACCGCTTACCAGTATTTTTGTTCATCATTCTTGATCGTCTCATGCCCGGATTTGCAGCACTGGCCAGCCGTTTACTCCTTTTCTCCTTCATCTTCTCCTTGATGTCCTCCAGACTCTGCTGGAAAGACTTCTTCTGAACCCGTTCTCTAGCCATGGCTTAGGGTCTATGTAAAGTAATATTATTATTTAGGCGTTCCGCAGCATCAATGACACATATCGCTACACGACGACGCTAATGTGTTGTTAGCTTACAAGCTAAGTTAGAGAACGTTACTGGTTTGGTAGGACGCTAGGCTATATTTAGCAACCCGACTTTATAAATTACAATGAAGCAAACCTAAAACCTATCAGAGACTATATATATATATCACGGAGATTTTATCTTAAATGTTTCAATAACAAAAATAATGGAAATTATGCGGTAAAACAATCCATTTCATCTCGGCTAAGTTGTCAGTTGTTGTTCGAATTCAGAGCCGCGACTGCTGATTGGTGAAATTTTTGTAGTGACGTCACTTCCTTTGCGTGAAATAACAGTTTTGCTCGCGAGATGGCGATAATGTACAGGAAGTAAGAGACGTGAACTACAGGCGCGTCTAAAAAAAAAGAGAACGTCATGAAAAAGTTAAATTTTTATTGTCACTCACTTCAGAAAGTGAAACTCATATATTGCATAGATTCATTACATATACAGTGAAATGTTTCAAGCCTTTATTTCTTGTAATTTTTGATGATTATGTACAAATAATGAAATAAACAAAATTAAATGTCTCAGAAAATTAGAATATTAAGTAGCCACTGCAGTGTGGGCAGGTGCCAAGTCCTGCTGGAAAATGAAAGTAGCATCTCCATAAAGCTTGTCTATAGAAGGAAGCATGAAGTGCTCTAAAATAGGTGCTGCGTTAACTGTGGACTTCAGAAAGCACGTGGACCAACACCAGCAGAGGACACGTCCCAAACCATTGACTGTGGAAACTTCACTCTGGACTTCAAGCAACGTGGATTCTGGGCCTCTCTACTCCTCCTCCAGACTCCGGGACCTTGATTTCTAAATGACGTGAAAATTTTTCTTTAGAGGACATTGAACCACTGAGCAACAGTCCAGTTCTTTTTCTCCTGTAGGTAAGATGCTTCTGATATTCTCTGATTCAGGAGTGGTTCGACTTGAGGAATGAGACATTTGTAACTCAGTTAATCAGCTGATTAGGGTGTGACACCAGGAGTTTACAATACTGGAACCTCTTCACAATATTCCTATTTTCTGAGATTGAATTTTTTTTTTTTGTCATAAGCCATAATCATCAGATTTACAAGAAATAAAGGTTTGAAATATTTCACTGTGTAATGAACCTGTATGAGTTTCACTTTATGAAACGATTGACAATAAAAATTGAACTATGATTCTTAATTATTATTTTTTTAGATGCACCTGTATTTGTAACTCCTCATTTGTTTTATCTGTTAGGTCCAAACAGCACTACAATTATCTAATTATAACTCTTGACGTCTCATAATCAGTCCTCTTTCACCCTTTTCCTGCCAGTCAACTGGAAACAAACAAAACACTGAAGATGTGTACCACTAGGAAATGAAGGCCTAATAAGCTCAAAGACCGTAATCTATGAGTGAATATCTAATTTCCATGGGGCTCCTGCAGCTCCACTGAAATTAGTGTTTTTAATTGACCTCTGTAGATAAGAGTTAGTGCTGTAAAGTGCTGTGCAGCGAGTGGATGGAGCTAATAACCGTGTTAATCTCACCGACAGGCAGAATTTTCAGTAATGTTCCCTGAGATTCTTCTAAACCTCTCAAGGCTTATTCAGATTTCACTTCAGCTAAGAAGTCAATTAACTTCAGTTTTCTGACACTTTTCTTAAGAGTCTACATTCCTACCGTCTTGCTTTTGACATTGGGCCTAAACAAACACCGTTCGTGCGTTTACACAGCTGTTCTTATTAAAGCCACCTTGCCTTCATAGCATTCATTATTACCCTCTTGAGATTTTCTCAATAAATGTTCCATGAATACTGGAATGCTTTACGATACACCAAGACCCGTGATTTCATTTACATTAAAAGTCAAACATGACATGACTTTTTGGCAGAGTGCAAGGACGTAATTAGCATGGAGCTAACGGCATCCATTTGGATGCTCTGTCAACGGGCATCCAAGAAAGTGTCCATGCAAACCAAGTGACTGGCACTGGAACATTTTACTGCACGTTTAGCTACGTTTTTACTTGTGCAAACAAAGGGGCTCTATCCCAGACTAAAACTGTGGTTGAAAAAGTTGTTGTCCCATCATCTCAAAATACAGATGATCAAGTATTTGTTCACAGAAATGATAAAGGTTACAGCTCTTTAAGAAAATCAGTTATTGACAGAAAGACATCTTTAGATAACTGACATCTATAAGAAGTCATTTATTCCGAGTGCAATAGCCATTCTTAATCAAACCACCTGATAACATCTACCTATGGTATGTGAAATGTTTTATTGTATGCACAAAGTGTTGATATTTTGATCGTATGAATGTGTTTTATTTTATGGTTGGAGAGCCGAAGGAAAATGTCCACCTTGGACATAAAGTTTTATCTTATCTTATCTTAAATGTCATGTTAAAAACGCTGAGCATCTTGGAAAAGTGACTGAAGAATGTGGGAATTAAAAACTTAAGTTACCTGGCACAAGCAGAATTTTATTTTTTTGATAGGTTTGTTTTCACCACTTATATTTTATTTATTTTTATTTTATTTCAGGGGCATGTGACTTGAATGTTTCTGGAGTTCAGGTGTTCTCCCTGAACCTGCTCGCATGTTCTGCACGTTTCATTCCCATTCCTCTTCCGTTCTTCTGCTCAAAACAGAAAGAGCTTTCATGGGCCATCAGTGACCAGAGTTCATGTAAAACTATGAAACATGTGAAATAGATGGATAAATTAGAGCATTAATTATATATATCGGACTATAATGTCATCATGAGTTAGGTGAAGAAAGTTTTTAACAGGCTTCCTGGAAGTAAAGTTTTCATATTAGAGGTGGAAATAACCAACAATTATTCATATGAGAGTTTCTAGGAAGAGTATTAACTTGAAAAACAAGCTTTTTATTTCAAAGTGATGCCGTTTCTATAGGAACTGCACCATTTTAAACAAATGTTCATGGTAAATCTTCCTCCAGTTCTTTTTTCGTGCCTAAAAGTGGCTCTTCATTTGCAAAACCATCCACTGTCTGACCTGCTGAATGCACAGGCAGATGTGCTGCAGCGCACGGAGGCCGCAGAGGCTTCTTTTAAAGCTCGAGCGTCGCCAGGTGTCACCCAGTGAAAACAAATGACTTCATCGAGGTGTCCCAGCTGTGAAACAGACTCAGGCTGCACCCTGTAGAGCAGCAAATGAGCTATTCAGTCCATCTATGCAGAGCTTGATGCTTTCTATGCATTTTCCAAATATTTCCATAAAGCTTAACTGAGGACTTGTTGCACTTAAATTTTATTAAGACAAAAAAAAAAAAGGATAAATTAGGACATATGTGATTTCAGTAACAGGTGTTACCAGTTTAGGGAGGGTTCGAGGACTAAATGGGCATTCTGTTACAAAGTGGCCTTACAAAATGACTCATTGTTTTAACAATAACATCACTTGTGCTTACTTAAAAGGTAATATTCTTGCTAAAAGCCAGCAAATGTTACAGCTGTTCCCTCACAGCAGGGAAATACGAAGTCGTGTGTGTGTCTGTGTGTGCGTTTTGTGAGTCAATTTTTAAAGAGCAAAAGAAAACGGCATAGAAGGAGGGAGAGGCACTTATAAAGTCGGGGAGACAGACAGCCAGAGGGACTCCTCGGGTTTTTGCTCAGCTTGCTTTAATGGACAAATCCATCACACAGTCATTTCATGCCACCTCTTACTATCCACATGTCAGGTGCCTGGAGAAAAACTTATTATCAGAGGTACAGGAAATGAAGGTGTTCATTAAAAAAAAAAAAAAAAAAAAAAGAAATAGCATGAGCTCTGTGGCAGTGTGAGACATATAGGTGAAATGAGGATAAAAAGACAAAGTGACAGTGAAGTTTAAATCGTTTGAATATGTTTTTATTAATCTCTAAGAAATATCAAAATGGGCTGAGGAAATGATACAACTGATAAATAAAACTAGCATTGTATGTTGATTGCTACCTTACATGTCAATGTTTGAAACAAGAATCTGGTGCAATATTTTAGAGCTCGGAGTATGAGATGAAGTTGAGTTGCAGCTACCACCACACCCGATTTTAGCCTGTTTATGAAACTGAGCCATTTTTGTTCTCAGAAAAGAGCACCAGAAGATAATGGCTGGTCCACGCAGCGCTGATAACAAAATGGATTGCTGACATTTTAAAACAACTCTAAGTTGAAAAGTCCATATCAAATCATGCAGTTACAGTTTAATAAATATTTATTTCACAGTTAATTTGCATTAAGAGGTTTATTATGCCGAGATACAATGATATTCAAATCATCTTATATGTTCAAAATCTATAATCATTACATTTTTACAGTGTCTGTCTGTCTGTCTGTCTGTCTGTCTGTCTGTCTGTCTGTCTGTCTGTCTGTCTGTCTGTCTGTCTGTCTATCTGTCTATCTATCTATCTATCTATCTATCTATCTATCTATCTATCTATCT